CATACTCCCTCATTCAATCAAGGGACAGATAGCCCCAGGCCAAATCTGATGGCCCATATGGGATGTCCACCATACTCCCTAGTCAAAGTGCCACGCTGGATTCCAAAAAGTCAGCCAGGCCTGCACATTTGGGCCATGGAATTTGCTATCTAGACTCCCTAAACAGGCCCAAACCCTAACTCTTTCTATTTTCTTTTTATTTTGCTTAATTATTTATTGTTATTATTTTTAATTATTAACCAACCAATCAAATCTTTTTTTCTTCATAAAATAAAAAACCAAAAAAATGTTTTCTTATTTAAATTAAATTTTAGTATTTTCTTTTATTTAACAAATCAATTAATTAATTTAGTCTTAATTAGGAATAGTTTTAATATCTTTTTTGCAATAATTAAAATTAACTTTGTAATTGTGAGATGATCCTCAAAAAGTACTTGGATTAAGAGATATGGATCCATGAAGTTCTGATATTTTTTATCTAACACTTAGATATATTTTTGATCAGTTTTCTCAACTTCTTGGCTAATTTTCACCAATTTCTCTTTTGTTTTAGCCAAAATGGTCAACATGAAAGTTGAAGATCTTGATTCAAGCTTTCCAAAATGTCTAAGAGCATGAAAAGATCATACTTGAGTTGAGAGATTCGAAGAGTTGAACTTGACATTTCATTCTTGAATTATAGGTCTTTTTTTTTTATGAACTCATGACCAAATCTCATAACCATGCTACACAATCTCATTTTGCAGGCCTCTAAACTCCCAAATCTCTCCATAAGCAGTTGATTTCACTTGTTTTATGACTATTATCCAATTGGTTCAAACTTTAACCAAAACATTTTTGCTATTTTGAGAAGGCAAGACTTCTATTTTGATAAAGCTTGTTTTATGCATTTGTCAACTCTCCTTGAGCCTCTCACTTATTCCCTTTTCATACACTCAACCTAAAAGCTCAGAGAAGCATGCTTAAAATGTCCAACAACTCCATGAAGCATGGTATTATACGTTGGAACTTTGATTTATCATAAAATCACAAGTTACATCCAACTAAGCCATAACTTGTTATTTTGCAAATCTGGTTACTTCAACTTCTCAAACCTTTTTGCCTATAAACAGTGTGTTCATTAGCAAGGCAACACACAAATGGACAAGCCCTTTAAACCTCTCATACACTCTCAAACCCGAATTGGTCATAAAACTCATTTCTTGAGTTTTCAAAATCCATTTCTTTGAAACTCTCAAACCTTACAACTTTTGTCCAAACACTTCATATACATCGTGTATAAGTGATTCAAACACATGTTTTGCCACTGTAACTCCATTATCAACATCCACCATTTTCAAAATCTAACTTTGCAACTTGACTTGAGTAGACTGATCCAAACACTCTCAAGGCAAAGTAAGAGTTGCAAGATACTCACCAAAGTCCCAGGAAGCTAAAGCAAGCGTCACATTGCTTTTGGAAGTCATGTAGAGAGCATTGGATTTTTCATTAAGAGGTAAGTTTCTTCAACTTTGAAATCTATGTACAAGCATCATTTGCATTTATTTTCTGAAGATAAAATGTAGACATCATATTCCTGAAATTATCCATGTCCCTAAATTGCATTTTAATTAACTATGTGATGAAAATTTTGGAACTGAAGTTTCTGAACCGTTAGGGTTTCAATTTGGTACTGAGCCAAATTTGTTTCAATCTTTAATCTATAGCTTTTGAAAATTATATGGTTGGATTCCTTGTTAAAAATCAAGCAAGTTTGGTCTTTATAACTTTCGATTTGGTTGAGAAATGAAGGATTTACAAAATCAAAAATGGTGAAATTATGTTGTTGTTGTTACTGCTTGCGCGCGGGGTAGAATGGTGGGTGAGCTAGCATTTTCAAATTCTCATGGTGGCTTATAATATATTTATTGGGTGCCTTTCATAAACTGATGAAACAGCCACCTCAGTGGTATACATAGCGCACCTGTAACCTCTAGGTCTGGGGTTCGAATCCCCCTTGCTCCAGACCTTTTGGTTTTATTTTTCTCATCATCCCTATGACACACCCTTGTTCTCTCAACCTTTAGATCTTCATCAGGACATCATCAACATCATCCAATGTTCCAAATTCGTTAGCCTACGGTGAACCTTCACTGGTTGACCGCACCAGATTTCACGGGCCTATAGTTGGGCCTGGACTTCCCCTGCTATCAACATCTCCAATTTCTGCTTAACTCGGGCCCATTTCCTCATTTTTTCTATATTTGTCTATTATTGTTTTATCTTGTTTAGTTATTTGTTTTATAAAAGAAAATACAAAAAAAATGTAATTGATTGGATAATTAATTAAATTGAGAAATTATATTTAATATTATTAATTAAACTATTAATTAACTTTATTAAATAAATTTTTTTAATTTAATTAGTTATTTCAATTATTTCAATTGGGTTGTATTGTTTGTTTATTTAGACTTTTAATCGAATTTTCGATTCGTCATTCTCATTCATAAATTTGTACCCCCATTTCTGAAACGTTATAATAGCGTAGGACATTTAATTTCCACAATTTACTGATTTCCTTATTATTGTTAGTTGAATAGAATTGTATGGTAAGATCTAAAATCAATCGCTAGATAATCCTAATCAAGACAAATTAACTGAAATCAAAACACTTTGCACACGCGCACCTCTAGAGTGACCTTCACTTGTTACCTCAGATTTAAATAGTCATGTCCCTCAAACGTGGAACGCTTTAGCAAAATCCCTTGGTTAAGAGATCGTAGTCCCTCGATGACCCTTTGGTGTTGCCTTTGATAAACGATCTTAGTCCCTTACGATAATTGTTAAAGCATCCTACAAGTTATCTTCTATGACTGTACGATGACTCGCGTATGTCCCTCACATCCAACGATAGAACTTCCTACTAACAAATGGTAGGGTAACACTATCTAAAAGAGGAGGAAAAGAACAAAGACTTTTTTTAGTAGGTAGAATGCTCGTAGTCACTTGCTCACAAACTTTTCAATACAAAACATATTTTCACAAAAGAACACTTTCTTTCACAATATTTTCAAAACAAACATTTTGTATACATTCTCAACGATACGAGAATCATTACAAAATTGTCGCACTTAGGCATTTTCAAAATATTTTCAAACATACACAAACACAAAGCATTTCAAAAGTGAGCTAGCGATTAAGAGCCCGTAGATAATTACAGATGAAAATGGTGATAACACATTCCCTTTTCATAACCTACCCCCTTACTCAGAAAATTTTCAAAAGGTTTTTCCTGTTCTTTTCACTCTTTCCTTTATTAGATAAAAGAAAAGTAGGTGGCGACTCTTGCTATCCACAACATTTGCGATAAAACGCAAAACTTAAAAGTCATTTCTCCCACTGTATTACACTTATCTTTATAACCTTGTTATTAGAAACACAAGTCTTCAGCATATAGACTTCGGTACAAATTTTGTATTCAGATCTTTTAACTTTGTTTCTTTAGAACACGTTGTCTTTAGAAACTTGAGCCTTTAGCATCTTGACGTAAGTAGAAACTTCTGCCTTCAGATCTTCTGAGTGGTTTATCTAGAACAAATATCAGGGCTTACACTTCAGAGTCTTCTAGAGTGTCTTGTTACTGTTCAACAGAACTTGTGTAACGTAGAAGCGGAATTAATTCTCTTCTAATGTCTTGGTCACGTCATCCATCAAAAGCAGAACATGTTTATTAAGTACTCAACAATAACAAACATTAGAGTATGAAAATTGTTCATACCAACATACTCATTTGTTATCATCAAAACTCACAGATAATATTGCAGAACCAAATCTTGTTCTTACACTTCGACGATCAAGTAAGAATGGGTGCAAAGAGATAAAAGCAGAACATTAGAGTTTAAGGTTTAAATATTAGATACATGATCCTCAAAAGTGTGAGGGTTATATAATTCCCTCAGTGCGTAGTCGTTAGTCCCTATTTCTGGGCCTAGATATGCGAGTCCACAAAAATAGGTAACTGTTAGGACTAGATCAAAACGGACAGTCGTGTCCGTAACTAACGGTTGTGTCAAGCAAAGTCAAGATGACGGACAAAAGCGTTCATGTGTTTTCAGAGCGTCTGCTCTTCGTGTGTTGAACAAACTAAGAGGTAATTGTCCGCACAGACAAGTGTGCATTTCAAACAGGTTAGGTTGCCCCATTTGAGGGTGTGGTCGACCATAATGATGAGCCAATACTATTGGACCGTACCAAAGATGGAATCAGGTTGGACTAATTTTAGTTATTGGACCAATCCAAAACACTATATTTATTTCAATGGTTTAGGTTTGACTGACAGTGTGAATTTAGGCTTCTCTGATTGCAGGGGATCCTGTTCTTGCTACTCTAACTAACACTAACAGAATATTATATTTTGTAACAGTCGCATCAAAATTATGACTGAATTTAAAAGTTCACAAGTTCACAACCACCCGTTACTCATATTTACTTATCAACCCTTTTAATTTCTATTCGAAACCAAGGTAATTCGGGTAATTCTATATGATTAGTTTATTACCTGTAGAAAGCATAAAGTTGCAATCGAACACTTCAAATTACCAATAAAATTAAAGATTAACTTATATTTTCTTTATATGTGCATCTAGTTAAATCCTAACAAATATATATTTGTAAATAATTTAAGAACTAATCTTAAATCACACGGATGGGTATACAAATTAATACATAAAATTAAATCCAAACAACAGATAAGAGATATCCTAACAAACATCATTGTGTCATGTGTAAAAATATTACACGGGTGGTGTATACAAATTAAATACATAAAATTAACTACATAAAGTGTGATTTCTTTTCATAATTCTTAACCAGCAGATAAGAGAAAAATTGCAGTACATTGATTCAACTATAAAGTCACAAGCTAACCTATTTTACAAAGATACCTCAGGTATTTCTTAGGAAAAGATGCACATCTGTAGCCAATCAGATTTACCAATCTAGAAGTGATGTTGCCAAACAAGTTATCTTCGGAGTTGCCTCTGCATAATAACAAGCAAATAACAACTGCATGAAAACCATTGCATTGGGGGGAAGATGCATGTATGACCAAAACAACAGTCTTCCATCATTTAAAAACTAATTTATATTGAATTTTTATCAATGATGTAAAACATAAGCAAGCCAGTAAAAATGCATCCTAGTTTATCAAAAACTGCCATGTCATCATAAGTATAAATAGAGTTTAACAGTTTCACAATTACCAGGTAAACAAATTTCATATAGATATCCAATCATAATTTACCATCTTCTCTGAAGTACACATTTTAAAAGATAGCATATTGACATGACAAGATGGTGAAACATGATGGAAATATCTCTGTAAAATATGTTTATGGTGTCAACATAGAGCTTATACACTCGAGCTAAAAAGTATGTAGCAAATACAGTAAGTAAATGTATAGATATTTTAGTCGATACTATATGCTGCACAAGTAGATAGGTGTTGTACTATGTACAAGATTGTTTAATATCATTTGATTAATCTCACATCATTGGATCAAGATGAGATATGGTGGGATTTGTCGATCCAGTGTTGGAAAATAAACGTGTGTGTGGTATAATACTATCATACTTGTGCATCATAGAATTAGCCTACTTTAGTACACGAAATGTTTTTAAGAGTATATCAAACAAACATACTCTTGGGGCATTCTGGGCAACTTGCTGCCGTCTTTCAGAAACTCGCTCTGGGTCAGGGATTAACTCTGGAGTATCATGCTTGTAAAATGCTTGTAAAGCTCTTCCAATAAATGGACGAACAATATTCACTTCCATTGCAGATAAATTTTTAATCTACAATATACCAAGAATTATGATGTAAATTGTTAGCAGATAAATGAACATATATAGCAAGACAAACAGCCTGTATTTTCCAGCCAGATTTTCTCATACACCAGAACATTCTAAAAAATGGAAAAGAACTTAAAATGGGGGCTGCATATGCATCCAATTCAGAATGCAAGTACAAAAAATGTGTAAAAGAACGAACATTCCATCTATCTCCACTTGATTTAAAACAAATTTTATAACTGAGATATTTATAAGCCTCTTTATGTAGAAAGCTGATAGAAACTATTTATTTGAGTACACTTGGCAACTATAAATGCAAGTGAGGTAACAGAATTTGTAACCAACCATCAAGTGAAACGTAATTATTTGAAATGGATAATCCATATTACAGCTAGTTGAGTTTCTATAAAACCAACTAGTATTATCAAGAATTTAAGAAAGATTCGTAGAGTAACAAATTGACCTCTTAACAAACTGTGAGGTTTCTGGATACGAGGTTAGTCCGAAAGGGGAGTATTCGCCCCTGAAACTTTATTGACGAACAAATGAATTGTTTATACATGATAGAATTCATAGTCTTTTCATTTCTTGTATAACAGAATTCTGTTATCTTCTAAAGTTAGTTACAAATGATAGCACACAGTTGCATTTATAAGCAACTGTGTGACCTGCTATAGCAGGTTATTTCCTGATACAACCTGACACATGTCAGTTTTACAAGGCTACCCTTTCTATCTTAGCTATATTCTAATAACACAGAGGAGAACTATCTTCTCTCACGCTTGAATTCCAGCCAAAGTGCAATCTAAAGAGCAAGACACTCGGATCGCTAAATCCTGGTACAGTGGCAAGGCAAATCAATAGCTGATGCAACTAGATTTCCAACAAAATAGATGGCTGCACCAGATGTGCTCCTTCTGTCATTTGGGTCTGAGGCCCAGTCAGCATCACAGAAAACCTGAAGGGAAGGAGGCTTAGAGGGAACATGAGGGGAGAGATGAAGGCCATGTTGAATAGTGCCTTTAAGGTACCTGAGGATTCTTTTTACAGCAATCCAATGTGTTTCCAAGGGGTGAGACATGAACTGGCAGACTTTGTTTACTGCATAAGCAATGTCAGGTCTTGTGATGGTGGCACATTGAAGTGCACCCACCACTGACCTGTACATATATGGATCAGCAAGAGCAGGGGAGCCAAGTTTAGTGAGCTTGCAGGAGACTGCATAGGAGTGGTAACAGGACTAGAGTCTGCCACGTGAGTCCTCTGCAGTAAATCTCTAATGTACTTGGTTTGAGTGAGCAACAAGGATCCCTAAGCAGCAGATTTAACTTCAATCCCAAGAAAGTAATCCAGGGCGCCCAGATGTTTAAGAGAAAAGTCAGAGTTAAGTTTATTTATGATAGACTGAAGTAGAGAAGAATTGTTACTAGTGATGATGATATCATCAACATACACCAGCACATAAACAGTGTTACCCTTTGAAGCAAAAATGAACAGAGAATGGTCACATTTGCTGGGTTGAAACTGCAGTTTAAGAAGAGCCTCCTGTAACCTCTCAAACCACAGCCTAGGGGCCTGTTTCAAGCCATAAAGGGCTTTGTGCAGTTTGCACACAAGAGAAGAATCTGAGTGGACAAACCCAAGAGGTTGATCCATATACACCTCTTCATGAAGTAGCCCATTAAGAAATGCATTATTTACATCAAGCTGCTGAATGGACCATTTGTGAGTAAGAGCAATAGTCTCATTAAAGTCAAACCCCTGTTTTTGATGAAATCTTTTTGCTACCAGACATGCCTTATACTTGTTGACTGAGCCATCTGGATTTTCCTTGATGTGTGTAGGAATATATTTTATATTTCCTTGTCTAATGAGAATTACAAACGCTGTATTTATAGAATACAGAAGGCAGTATTTGAAAGAGAAATCTGCCCTAAGAATCAGGGGAATTAATTTCCCATAAAAGCTAATTCTAATTATAGAAAAAACAGGAAGTAATAGCTAACTAATTACAATAATCCTAATCCTAATGGGCTGTACAAACAGAATCATTTTGATTTTGTATTGATTATTCCACACTCCCCCTCAATCTGGGTGGTAGATGTCTATCATACCCAGATTGGATCTGATATTCTCGTATATGTTCCTCGAAAGGGCTTTTGTTAGAATGTCTGCAGTTTGCAGGCATGATGGAATATGGTTAACACTTATAATTTCATGATCAATTTTCTCTTTGATGAAGTGTCGGTCTATCTCTACATGTTTTGTTCTATCATGCTGTACCGGGTTCTTCGCAATGCTAATAGCAGCCTTGTTATCATATAATATCTTCATGGGGTGATTGATAGGAATTTTGATCTCATCTAGCATTCGCTTAAGCCAAATTCCTTCACAAATACCTTGTGACATAGCTCTGAATTCTGCTTCTGCGCTACTCCTAGCCACAACAGATTGTTTCTTGCTTCTCCAAGTTACCATATCCCCATACAACTGTGCAGTAGCCTGTAGTCGATTTCCTGTCAGATAAACATCCTGCCCAGTCAGAATCAGTGTAGACTTCAATGCCTCTGTTTGAGTTCTTTTGAAAATAAAGTCCTCGGCCCGGTGTACCTTTCAGGTACTGGAGAATTCTGTTCACATTTTTCATGTCAGTTTCAGTTGGATTTGACATATAACGACTAGCTAAGCTTACAGCAAAAACAATGTCTGGTCTGGTGTGAGTTAGATAGATTAGTTTTCCGACTAGACTTTGATATCTATCTTTATTAGCCGGTATATTTTCATCTTCACTCCTTTTTACTTGTTCTATGGGAGTATTGGCAGCTTTGCATCCAAGCATACCTGTTTCTTGAAGCAAATTCAGAGTGTACTTCCTTTGAGAAACTGAAATACCATTCTTTGTTCGTGCAATTTCCATCCCTAGAAAATACTTGAGTTGTCCTAAGTCTTTGACTTCAAATTCTTTGGCTAGAAGTTTCTTTAACTGGTTGACTTGTTTATCATCATCTCCCGTAATTACGATGTCATCAACATAGACAATAAACAAAGCTATCTTCCCATCCAAAGAGTGCTTGACAAACATAGTGTGGTCTGTTTGACATTGAACAAAACCATCTTGCTTGACAACTTTTGTTAGTCTGTCAAACCATGCCCTCGGTGATTGTTTGAGGCCATATAGAGATTTTCGAAGTCGACACACCATGTTGGAGGTTCCAGGTGATTCAAGTCCCGGCGGAATTTGCATGTATACCTCTTCTTGTAACTCCCCATTTAGAAATGCATTCTTTATGTCTAGTTGGTGTAGGGGCCAATCTAGATTTGCTGCCAGAGATAGTAGAACCCGGACAGAATTGAACTTCGCAACAGGTGCAAAAGTTTCCTCATAATCCACCCCATATGATTGTGTGAACCCCTTAGCAACCAACCGAGCTTTGTACCTGTTTATACTCCCATCAGCATTGTGCTTAATTGAAAATATCCACTTGCATCCTACTGCTTTCTTCCCTTCTGGTATAGCAGTGATCTCCCATGTGCCATTTCTTACAAGTGCTTGAACTTCTTCTGTTACAGCTGCTGCCCATTCAGGTTTCTGCCGTGCTTCTTGAATATTATTTGGAATTTCTATGTTGTCAATAGCTGCTACAAAGGACCTGTAACTTTCTGATAGTTTTCCATAGGAAATATATTTTTCAATAGGGTGTTTAGTGCAAGTTCTAACCCCTTTTCTCATAGCTATAGAAATATCAATATCTGCTGTATTTATATCAACATGTTCAGAGTTAGGAAGAATATTACCTGTGGGAACTTCATTTTCTAGAGTCTAGTCTGACTCATGGCCTTGCGTCGGAGCTGTACTTGACTCTAATTCCTTCCTCTTCTTTTTGTAACAAATACCCTTCCACTTGCCTGTTTTTGGATCACAATTATCTTGAGATGTGGTTGAGACTATAATTGGTTTTGTGTCCGTCACAGCTTCTGCTGTCCTTTCACTCGGCTGAATGTTAAAAGGTTTAGTTTGGAGATTTTTCAACTGATTTAGGCATAGGTTCGGCTGATTGAGTGTTACCGATTTGGTTTGGTAAGATTTTGTCATGTTCGATAAGTTCAAGAGGTTCAAAAGGCAAAAGTTGGTATTCTGAATTTTCGATGTATGATTGCTCCCCCTGAATACCAGTTTTGGTGTAATAGCGCTGATTTTCAAAGAAGGTTACATCCATAGTGTGGTAAAAAAATTTGGTACGGGGAGAGTAACACCTATATCCCTTTTGGTGCGGAGAGTAACCTAAAAAAATGCATTTGATGGATTTTGGATCTAATTTGCTTCGGTGAGGGTTGAGGTTATGGACAAAAGTTGAGCATCCAAATATTTTTAATGGAATGGAGGAAAAAAATTTGCTGGTTGGAAATAGGTTTTGAAGTGTGGAGAGTGGGGTCTTAAAGTTAAGGATACGAGAGGGTGTTCGATTTATAAGGTGAGTTGCTGAAAGGACAGCTTCTCCCCGAAAGTGTTGTGGGACATTTGTGGCCAACATGATTGATCTAGTCACTTCCAAAAGGTGTCTATTCTTTCTTTCTGCTACTCCATTTTGTTTGGGAGTGTCCACACATGAGCTTTGGTGAATAATTCCAACCTTTTGAAGATAGGAATTTAGAGCAAGGTTGTAATACTAACGACCATTGTCAGTTCTAAGTATCTGAATATTGCTTTGGAATTGTGTTTGTATCATCTTATGATAAATTTCAAATATTCTCCCTACTTCTGATTTTTCCTTCATTAGAAACACCCAGGTAACACGTGTGTGATCATCAATAAAGGTGACAAACCATCTCGAGCCTGTAATATTGTGGACTCGTGATGGTCCCCATACATCACTATGAATTAATGAAAAAGGTTTGGAGGGTTTATAGGATTGGGGTGAGTAATGGTTTCGGGTATGTTTTGACAATTGACAAATTTCACATTGAAAATGTTCCTTGTTTATATTGAATAAAGAGGGATACAT